CGAAAAAACACGGTACAATACAAGAATGGGATTTGCTGTTGGTTTACTGAGATTTCAATTAAAAAATGTGGCGGTTAAAAGCCACATCATCACATTTTACAGGGGAGGCAAATAAGTAGTCAGATTGTTTTACAGTTTGGTTTCTGCTCAACAAAATAACCATGTCAATTAATACGCTAGTCTAATTGTGCTATATTAGTAATAAGTTAATATTAAAAGAAAGGACACATGAAATTGGCCGGGGGAGACAACTCTCTTCTGTTGTTATGTTCTTGTTATTATTTTTATTTTTATTTTGGGTTGATCACTTATCACACATATCTGTGTTACAGTAACACAAAGGCCCTTCGTGCGTTATTACGCACGCGCGCACACACACACACAACCGTTTTGGTGTGGATGTATCGGGTCCCTGGATGCGTATTGACGTGTAATTATCCAGAGGCCTATGCGCAGCCGACCAATCAGGTGGCGGAGGAGAGGCTGTGCCTGCCGGCCGGCACACACCGGGTACGAAGCCAACCCCCGTGGCGGTGACAGCGCCACAGCGACTGGACCAGGTCCCGACTTCACCACCTCGTCCGTGCAGAGCAAGGTAGACTGTTCTGGTAGCTTTTAGAATAACTTTCATGGGGCTTAAAAAGTTTAACTCCTGATAAAGCTTGGCCGGTGGTGTTTTTTTGGGGTGGCTACTCCCGGATTTGATGGTTGAAAAGTTTTCAATCGGGCTTGCAAACCTTCTTTCCGGCAGCTACTTTCAAAATTAAAGCTATTGTTAGTCATTTGCCTTGGAAAAGGTAACCGGTGTATCGCGGTTGTTTTATTATGAAGGCAGGATTTATGTAGTTCCGGTATTTTACGTCGCTTTTTAACTAACTCGACGTAGCCGCTGTCCCGGCTTTGGTAGGAGGATTTAACTCGATTTTGCGCGCAGTATGGTCGCATTAGCGGTCTATATACCGGGTCCGGTATGCTCTGTTGGTGTGATTGTATTTTTTCAGAGCCACTTAAGCACAGTTTTTGCTCATGAAACTCATAAAGGCAGAAAAAGTTAAAGCAAATAGTTTTGTCCCGATGGAGGGTGTGGAGCTGAAGTGTGACACGTTACGTCATTCATCCCTCTCCCGTCTGCTGTCTGCGCTGCTCAGAGTGGCCATATCAACAAGTGGCCTAAAGCCATCTCATTCTGAAAAAGTCTGATACTTTAACTTCATCCTGCTCCAGTTCCACCACCTTCTTCATCACGGTACTACCTGAACGGATAAATATATTTAGAAATACTTTAATTTGAATAATTGATTTTTCGGGGACCAATTTCGAAAGAAGATCAGATATCGTGTGTTTCCCAAAGTGCAAAGTTGACGCTTTCCGAGTGTGGCCGATCTCGCGTATTCCTAAATTTTAGTCATTGTAATTTTTTTAAGGGGCAAGTTGAGGATTTCCACTTGTTTACACTCCAGTGTGTCCGGTGAGACTCCTAATTCTGCTTTCAGGGTGTGTCTCCATGTCGGTCAGAAGCGAGAATTGATACCAAATGCTTGTTGAAATCTAAAGTTTTCGTTTTACTTTTGGCTAAAGTTCGAAAGGGAGCAGCTCTGTATGTTTCAATTCCGCTGCAGGGCGCTTTAGTTTGGAAACCGAAAGCATTTTTGTGCAGAGAGATGGAATGTAACAACATTTTTCAAAATAAAAACACAAACAAGAGGAGCTCTTTGCCAAACAGATCGCTGGCATGGATCTGTTTATTTACTGTATTTTTCAAAAGCAGGTTTTTATATACATTTCCTTGCTTTGGTCGTGGATGTTTTTTATGCCTAAAAGAAAAAGCAAATACTCTACTGATACTATGGCTTCAGAATTCAGTTGCAGTTTTAGTCTGCAACAGAGATTTAGATTGATCTGAATACACTGTTTGTTTCTTGAAATCTGATCAACACTTCATGAAAACTTGCCTAACCAGTCCTTCATTGACCTACAGCGCAAACCCAGCCTGTGTGGACATTAGTATGGGTTTGCGTCATTATCAGAGTAAAAGATTTCAGAACAGAAGTGTTAAAAAAATTGCGTTTTGGGTTTGTTTTTGGGGGTTTTTCTTCAGATGGCTGATGCAGAGGTGGCAAAAAAAATGCTGCGGGGCATCCTGCAGTCCAACAAAGGTGGAGTGTCATTGTCACACCTGCAGTCAGAGTATAAGGAGCTGACTGGGGAGCACATACCACATAAGCAGATGGGACACAGCAACCTGGATGCTCTTCTAGCCAGCATGCCATCTTTAGTCCGCATGGAGCGCAGCCGCTCGGGAGAGGTGTGTGCCGATGTGCTTCACATAAGCGGCGATGAATGATATGTATTTTTCTGCTTTCTTTCTTTAAACACGTCATCGGTAGATTGTTACATTGTGTGATGTGCATTACGCCTGCAGGGTTTAACCATGTTTGCGTTACACTAGAGCACGACTGCATGCTTGTTGCATTCTCTATTTCCAGGTGGTTTATTTTGCCTCAGGGGCCAAGGAGACAGGTCATCTAGCCAAGGTGGTGGCTCGTCAGCGCACATCCAAGAAGACGGGTCGACCTCACCTTGTCAACACCCAGATGAGGGTCAAACCAGCTGCCCCGCTTGTCCTCAATGGTAAAAAAAAATAAAAAAAATTTGGGACCCATACAGGGATGTCCACGTCAGCATATTCATAATGAATGTGTGTTGATCAGTTAATTAGCTAATTTGTTAGTAAAAGGAGAGGATTAGGTGCTGCTTATACTCTGCCTAGAGGTGGGCCTCCAGGTGCATTGTGGGATGAAGTCAGAGAACGAGTAACATCAGACGTGGTGACAGGAAAGCTAATCAGAAACAATGAGTGGACATTCTTCCCGATGAGCAGGTCTGAGCTCCAGCTTCCAGAAATACTTTGACTGCTCTGCTGCTGATAAAGAAGGTTCAAACAATCCTTAAATCCAAAGGTTACTGTTTTTCTTCCTTCAACCGTGTGACTCTTTGATAAAGAAACAGAAGCATAGATTTGTTAATAGATTATTAGCTTTCAAGTACATCTTTGTTTATGCATGACCATTTTAGACAAACTGGCAAATATTTTCATTCAAAGTTCTGCAATGTTTTTCTATTTTGCTGGTGTTATGTTTAAGTTCCGATGCATTTGACCTCCCTGGGCCAACGTAGAAAACAGTAACTGGAGACCGCAGCACGACCCAAATTATTTGGACCATGTGCAGTCAACTCACGATCTCTTTACCCTCTGAAATGCACACTTCACAGAAAGCGGCGAGGCATCGTCTTGCAGTCAGTTGCCATCTTCATACCAAGAAGGCAATAATATAGGGATAAAACAGCAATAAGACTGAGTCAGTCTGCTAATGGTCTTTAACTGAACAGAGTCTGCAGTCTGTCTGCAATAATATCATCATTAACTTAATGAAATCTCAAATCTGTTGGTATCTACATCAGAAGAGTCAGGGGTGTGCTCACAGTCAGCAGGCTGCAGGAGAATAAATATGTGAATGATATACAGCTGAACTGATATGTTAGAAATTGCTTTGGACTTTTTGTGGGTCCTGAGGATTGAGACTCAGATGGAGCGCAGGCTTTATTCAGAGATAAATGTATACATTTCATACAGAAATAAACTTTGCAGTGCTCAACAGATTTGATAAACCACCTGTGATAAAACACAAGAGAACACAAAAATGTTAAAAACTAGTAAAGTAAAAGTTACTGAATTCACTGAACTGAATTTCTGTTTGTATACCCATATTTGAACTAACAGGCTGGACTTTTCTGAGAAGTCAGACGTTAATCAATCATAGCATTTAACCACTAAAACTAATTCTTCAGTTAAGGCGTGCAGGTAAATAACTGCGATAACTTTAGAAAAAAGTTTTTGTGTTGTTGGGGGGGGGGGTTTAGCTTTTTTTTTTAAACTGTGTGTTTATTGAGTTTTAAACTTTACACTGACACCAAAATTAAACAAACAAACAAATAACCAAAACAACAACAACAACAACATAGCAGAACGAAACAAAACAGACAAAACAAAACAAAGAGACAGGCAACCCGGCTCATGAATATAAAGAAATAAGTGGAAAATCCAGACATTTTGATTATGAGATACGATTAACAATACATATATGTAAAATAGCAGTGATCTACTTGCATTATACCAAGGCCCGTGAGAAAATAGCAGAAATATCCAAACCGACATACGCCATAAATGGGTCCCATATTTTATGAAACTTTTTGTCCCTACTATGTAGCTTGCATGTTAGGAAATCTAGTGACACATATTCCAATACCGTCCGATGCCATTGAGTCTTAGATGGGGCCGTGTCCGTGATCCAGTTCAAGAGGACACATTTCCTTGCACAGAATGTTTTTTAGCTTTTTTGTTAATTAGCAAATTTGAACATACATGGATAACTACAATAATTATTTTTTAAGCATTAACAATATTTTGATTGAAGAGCTTCTGTATACTTGCAGATGAACCATTAATGAAGCATTAAAAAGTATTTTGGTAATTATCAGTAAGGCTGATTTAGGGCAATGAAGATACTGTTACTGTGACACATGCGTAAATGTGCCTGACGCTCTGGGTTTTTCGGCAGTGTGTGAAACTAAACCAGAGCTATGCACCAGGGCTGCTGTCACACAACCTGGCTTTACAACTGATGGGCTGATAGAGAAGAGCAGCCACACTGCTGCCTGAAAAGGTCAACTCGAACCTGACCATCATTCACAGTTAGAACTTGCGGTTCATAATGTTGTAAAACACATCACAGAGTGAAAACATTTTTACATATTTATTAACTCTCAAAGTCTGCTGTTGTCAGTAATTCAAAAAGTTTATAGTTCATATTACATTTTAAAGTTAATCGGCACAGCTCGCCACATGGCACTAAGAGGTGCCATGTGGCGAGCTTAACTCTTAGATGTTATACTGTTTATATTGCTGCGTTCGATTGAAAGTGTCTGAAGAAGAGGGCACGAGACTGGAAATGTTGCACATGTTAATTTAACTATAACTCTAACATACTTATATTCAGACATTAATGGAACACACTTAACAAGTCTGCGTTTGGGCAGACTTGTAATCGTGCTCGCTGACGGGAAGTAAAAG